TTCTACTAGGGTCCCGCAAGGATCTCTTCTTTCTCCGCGCTCTTTAGAACATTTATATCAAGGACCCTCCTACCACAAACAACATTGAATTTTGCATGTATGCTGACGACACAGCGATACTTTGTCAACCCAAAAAACCAACCATCATATCATATATGATCACACGATACCTAACACAGCTTGACCACTGGTTTACCAAGCGGAAAATAGCCATAAACACCTCAAAAACAGAAGCCATATTTTTTGCTAGATACAAAAAGCACCAGACATCTACATCAGAGAGAATAGAGACCCCTGATCTAATCAAGTTAAATACCTAGGAATTATCCTTGATAAAACTCTCACTTTCAAACAACACGTAACTTTTATTTTTTAGGGAAAGATTATTTTATTTCCTGAAAATCAAAATTAATTAATAGAAACAAAATGCTTGCCTACTCACTGATCCTAAAACCAATCCAGACCTAAGCCTCCCCTGTTTGAGGACATGCAGCAAAGACAGTTATTAATTATTCAGAAAGTGCTCAAAGTTTAACTGCCAGTCAAATTTTTAACGCTATCTGGTCTATGAGGAATGTAGACCTCGGAGACGCGAGTAAAATATCCATTATTAGACAAAACATCAGGATAAATGCTACCAACTTCTTATATAAAATTGGCAACTCTGACAATAAACTATCACTAGCATAAAAAATATTAGGTTGGGGAAAAAGAGAAATCCAATACGAGTATTTTTTCGGTAGAAGGCTGTAGTGTTGATATCTCGTGAAGTATTGATCAAACAATTTCAAATTTATGCTCGTTGTCAAGGTGACATTTCACACTAAAAAACTATTTTGCTATTTTTTTTTGTTTGGTTAATTCAGTTGTGAGTTACAAGGTGTTAAAAATGGAAGTTAACAAAGAGAAAATTCGGTACATTTTACAGTTTTTCTTTGATAAAAGCGAAAATGCAAGCCAGGTGGCTGAAATTGTGAATGATGTTTATGGTGCTGATACTGTAGCAGCTAATTACGTGCAATTTTGGTTTCGCTGATTCCATTCAGGCATTTTTCATGCTAAAGTTACCCCACGCCCGTCATTGAAAATCACAGAAATAATCGAAGTTGACCGGCATGTTAGTGTTGTAGCATTGTTCAGGTGCTAAAAATCGACCACGAAACAGTTTTAAGCCATTTGAGCAAAGTTGGGTTCAAAAACAAATCGATGTTTGGGTGACACACCAATAAACACCAAAAACCATGTTGGATTGAATTTCCATCTGCGAAGCCCTGGTCAAACGGAAGGAAATCAATCTATTTCTTGAGCAGATGGTGACTGGCGATGAGAAATGAGTCACATACGACAATATTGTGCAAAAACGATCGCGGCCAAAGCGCGATGAAGCAGCTCAAACGGTATCCAAACCCGGACTATCTCATCCAAGAAGGTTCTACTGTGCATTTGGTGGGACTGGAAAGGAATAATTTATTATGAGTTCCTTCCGTGAGGTCAAACACTAAATTCAGATATCTACTGTCAAGAACTGGACCGTTTGAAGTTAGTGACTGACTAGAAACAGCCAGAATTGTACATCAGAAGAGGTGTTGTGTTCCATCTGGACAACTCTAGGCCACACACGTCTGTAGTGACTCGCCAGAAGCTCTGGGAGCTTGATAGGAAAGTTTTAATGCATCCACCATATAGTCCGGACATGGTACCAAACAATTACCACCTTTTTCTCACATTGCAAAACTTCCAAAGTGATAAGAAATTGGGATCAAAAGAAGATTGCGAAAATTGATTATTAGAGTTATTCTCCAATAAAGACCAAGACTTCTATGAGAGAGGCAACATGAAGCTACTTTGAAAATAGCAACAATGTACACAACAAAACGGTACATATTTGATTCAAATCGGACAATCCAAAACACGTTAAATAAAGTTTTGAATTTCAAGCTGAAATAATGAATCTCTTTTCCCCCAACCTAATATATTCTTGATCTTAATTTCCACTGACCCAGATCCATCCTAAATGATGTCGCTTTTCTTTAATTCCTAAATATGTTCTCTTTTATCTATATTATTTGTCTTTTAATTTTATTCTAAAATTATTTCCATTTACTATTCATTGATTGGCCAATTTTCTCACCTAAAAAGCAAAAATTACTGATCAGCCATTAACAGAAGCTCCACTCGATACCAATTCATCTTAGCTTTTTACTTACATCTAAATATTTTCTTTCATTAACTTGAATTCCTTTGCTCTCTCTCTCTCTCTATAACCGGATTATTAATCGTTCCACTCACTATATCATGAATAACAATTTTTCTTTCTTTATATATTTCTAAGTTAAAACTATTTTATCCATTTTTATCCTTATCTTACTTTATATTTGTAAATTTATTCATATCAACGTAATTTTTCTTTTTATTAGTTTTCATTAGTTTCATTTTGTATTTTAAATATTATTTACTAAAAAGGGCAATTTGAAAGCGTTTTAATGTCATCCAATATGAATAGACGAAGATTTGGAGAACTAAGTGCTCCCAACCCACCAAACTACAAACTGCAATATGCGTTGTTGCTCTATTACAGCTCCGTTTGGGTACGGGGTGTGATGCTGTTATACACTCTGTCGCAAAAAAATATATGCACCCAGAAGAAATTGAGCTACATTCACGAAATTTGGTATGCATGTAGTGTATATGAAAATAAACAAATGATTAAAAATTCAGAACAAAATATCATTTTATTAAGCGGTTACAGCTTGCAAAGGTTAAAAATCAGTAAGTAGTAAAGCCACCTCTGGCAGCTATACAAGCCGAAATTCGGCGTGGCATCGATTCAATTAGATCACTTATGACCCCCTGTGGAAGATCCTGCCATAGTCTTTGCATCTGCGCAGTTAATTCTCCTGTATCTCGGGACGGCTGCAGTTGCCTTCCCAGCGCGTCCAGACATGCTCTATTGGCGAAAGATCTGGTGACCTGGCAGGCCATGGTAGGACGTCATATCCTTGTAGACATTGTTGGGAGAGTCGCGCAGTAGGTGGACGAGCATTATCCTGTTGATAAATGGCACCTGGGCGACTTGATAGCATGGGTAGCACAATCGGCGTTAAAATATCGTCCACGTATCTGCGAGCTGTCAAAGTGCCTTGAAGGACCACTAAAGATGATCGTGTGTCCCAAGAAATTGCTCCCCACACTGTCACACCTTGTGAAATTGCTGTATGCCGCTCTCGACAATAAATGCCGGATCGGACCGCTGGCCGGTGCGCCTCCAGACACGTGTGCGGTGGTCATCAGCACTGAGACTGAATCGGGATTCATCACTGAAGATGACACGTCTCCAGTCTGTCACACTCCAAGTTGCCCGAGGTCGGCAAAATCCAGTCGACACTGCCTATAATGTGGGGTCAGTGGTAAGCGTCTTAGCGGACGTCGGCTCCTCAAGCCAACTTCGGTCAGTCGTCTCCTTATGGTTTCTCTTGATGGCACTGGATGTCTGGAAGGAGGTAAGTGGCGTTGAATCGATGCTAGCGACGTTGTGGGTGCCGAAGTGGCCACTCTTCTGATTGCACGATCCTCGCGATCATTTGTGTTCCTGGGACGTCCTGACCCTCCGCGACGGTACACTCTACCTTCTGTGATCCACTGTTGCCAACACCGAGCAACTACCATATCGCTCCGACCGAGGGGGCGGCCGATACGTCTATTCGACCAACCTGCTTCTCTGAGGCCTATTATACGGCCCCTATTAAAGTCCGTCAGCTGCTCGTACTGCCGCCGGTTACGTCTTAGAGGCATCCTAAGTCTCAATATCGTCTATCAAAGTTATCAGATTCGTTTGGATAGCCGTACGGCGCTCGTACTCATGCTTTTAAACTCTCCCAGTTGCGCAACTAATATGCGCATAGCACACTTAGCCTTGTCTCATTGGCTTCGAAATTTTAATCATTTGCATATCTCTTACCAGACTACATTCTTGCCGAGTTTCGTGATTGTAGCTTGATTTCTTCTGGGTGCATATATTTTTTGCGACAGAGTGTATATATATATATATATATATATATATATATATATATATGTATATATATATGTATATATATATTTATATATATATATGTGTGTGTGTGTGTGAGAGGGATCCCCAGCCCCTCAAGTGTCAGATGGGGTAAACTCCCTATCAGGACAATTCAACCCACCTCCCGCATAAGAACTTTGAATTCTACTTTCGCCTGACTTAAAGAAGATACGTGTTTTAAAGACTCACTCACTGCTGATCAACACGCTGAAAGAGCTCTCGTTTTTGTCATGGCTTGGAGTGCAAACTTCTTTACTGAATATTGAAATAAAATATAATAGGACAAACGGCTTCCCGTTGCATTTCTCCTGACAATCCAAGAATTTCTCCAAAACATGATATATATATATATATATATATATATATATATATATATATATATATATATATATATATATATATATATATACTTTGACTTTTAAATATACTATTGTGACGGGTCTTTACGCCCTTCATACTAACCCTCTTGGGAAATCTTTACGCTAGCATTCACTTTTAATTCACAGCCTTTCCTTTCAAGAAGAAACGCTGACATGCAGATTAGTTAGAGTATGTAAAGTAAGAGTTTGGTAATTGTAAGGGAGAAGGAGATGAGAATCTGTTGCAGCGTTTCAAGGTAAGATTTAATTGAATTACACAACGTGAGTTAAGAACTCAGTTTGCCACTGATTTAGTGGATTGAGAATTTATAGTCTAATATTGATTAGGTTAAGTTGAACTGTTACTTGTGGTTATTCACTTAGGTTATTGCTTTTATTATATCACTCCCAGGGCTTCCTCTTGTGGTTTAACTTTGTAATTGATTGGTGTGCTTGAATAATAATACATAACAGTTATTATGGATGTTAATGGTCATGCTTTGTTTCCTCCCACACCCTTATGTAGGCTGGACAGTGAGGGAGTGATTTCAGGGCGAAGTCACTCATATTGGCGCCCAACGTGGGGCACGAATCCACAACCTCGAGATTAAGAGTCTCGTGCTCTACCTACTGAGCTACCATTGTGAGCGACTTCCCCTTGACGTCATTTCCTCACCGTCCTGCCTACCTAAGTGTGTGGCAGGAAACAAAGCATGACCAGAAACATCCATAATAACTATTATTTATTATTATTCAAGCACACTTATCAACCACAAAGTTAAACTACAAGAGGAAGCCCTAAGAGAGTGGTATATAGAAAGCAATAACACTAAGTGAATAAACCGAAGTAACACAGTTCAACTTAAACTAATCAATCTTAGACTATAAATTCCAAATCTACTAAATTAGTATAGTGGCAAACTCCGTTTTTAACTCACGTTGTGTAATTCAATTAAATCTCCCCTTAGTAACGCTGCAACAGACTCTCCGCTCCTTCTCCCTTACAATTGCCAAATTCTGACTTTATATACTCTAACTAATCTGCATATTAGGGTTTCTTTTTGAGAGCGATGGCTGTGAATTAAACACGGATGCTAGCCCAAAGATTCTCCAAGAGGACTAGTATGAAGGTCACTCAATAACCCGTCACACTATGATATTTAAATTTTTATTATTTTCTGGCTTAGATAAGTTGATTTATTTTTTCTTGGCATTCTTTACTTGTTATTTGGCATTTGTAGCTAAGTATTATACTTTAGCGTGTTTAGCATTATTCTTCTAGTTCCATGGCTAATACCTTTAATAAAAATGGAAGTTTATTCGTGCACTATTTTTTCCCTTGCTGCCCAGTATATTGACAAATACAGGGGAGGATGGCTGACCTTCAAACTATATTTAAACCTGCAATTTCAGTTCCTAAGACTAAGAGAATTTGCTATTGTTCTACTGAAATAGTATATAATTTATATGTACCATACATATGTATGTGTGGTAGCGTATCCCGTTTCCACGTCACAGTTTCGGGGCTCAAATATTGGGCTTGGCAAGTTTGACTCGGCTTTTCAACCCTTCAGTGGGTCGAGAAATGAGGTTTAGTGTCAGAGTGACCACCTGACCGGAACATCTACTCATGCACATTAGCACCCAAGGTCTCGATAATTGAGATGGCACAATAGGCCTTGACCATCCATGGGCTATTGCGTCACTGAGTATTCAATATATATATATACAGGAAAAGTGTCTCCTTCACTCATAATGAATCTTAGACTTTCAGACTTGAAATTTGACAGGCATGTTTCTTTTATTCAGTAGAGGTCCATTAAGGACATGTTTTATAGTAATCTTCTCCCAAAGGAATGGGTTATGAGGCTGAAAAGTATAAATAAACGTCTACTTTATTAATTATAATGCCGTCCTTTTAAATCAATAGGCAAGGTCTATAAAATTATTTTTAAATGCAATCGGAAGCTTAATGCTGGGACTTAGTTATCTATAACTGAAAAAAAAACATATAACATCATGAAATATTCAAAGAAAAAAATTACGTCTGTAATATTTAGTAAGTACATGTTTTGCAGGAAATACAAAATGTATCACAAGGATCGATAAGATATATCAAAGCCAAAATTAAAAGACAAATGACATAAAACGCAAAGATAAAATTATTCAAATAACAGAACGTGCTTTTTCACCTGCACATTCAAAATAGACAATATTTTCTGAAAACTATAAGGTTGGCAGTGACTATTAAGTTAAGCCTTATAGTTGAAAGAGGGAGGATTTGAATGAAGTATCTGATTATGTCCGCACATGGTGCTTTTAAACATTGAACAAATTTCTTGAGTTATAGAAGTGGGACATGTGTATTGGAGCAGTTGTCAGCATATCATCAACCAGATGTGTATGGTGCACTATATATTGAGAATTTGGATAAGTCAAGGCAGCAGGGCAAAATATTGGACCATGAAGAATGTAAAACAGCGTTCGGCAACCTATGGCACGCGTGCCAAATGTGACACGTGGTACCATTCTCCGTGGCACTCTGCACTACTCTTCTATTTATCATTTTTTGAGTTGATGGAAGATAATAAATTTTTAATGGACCTTATTCGACGAACATCTTCAGAATTATGGAAATTTACGGAATTATGAAAAAATCTGAAAGATAACTCTACAGCTATGATAAATTGATAGTAGAATTGATTGATGGAAGATAAATTTACAGCTATGCTGAAAATTATTGAAAATGTCATTGCTAAGGAGATATAATAGTTTGAAGAGAGAACATTGCATGTACTTTCTACTTTATGTTCTATTTATTTAAGTAAAATATCTTTCCTCATATGAAAAATATTTTGAGTCCACCAAGAAATTGCTTAACAATTCAAAATCATATCAAATTGAAAGTCAAACACATGCAAAATTAATATACGGGGTGTCCAGCCTTAATGTGAACCAATAGCTAATTCCCTAACCGTTTGTTTTAGATATATACTTCCAATTTGTAAAATGTTTTAAAAAAGGTAAAAAATGTTTTTGCGTGCTTTGCGAACCAAAAAATCCATTTAGAAAAAAGTTACAAAAATTCAATTTTTATACGGTCCCCAGGTCATATCAATTATATTTAGGAAAAGATTCAGTACACAAAAACAAAGTAAAGACAAAAGGTTTCATTTTATTACGATAAAAACTGACCGAGTTATGACTACATAAAGTTGAAGCATCTGAATTGCTCAGAAAAAGGGGTCGCATACAAATTGAGTTTAGATATCAGTAATTCACTATATACAGAAAGATCAAAAGAAAAACATCATAGTAATATTAAAACATCGTAGTAAACATCATAGACTGATAATTTGTAATGCTATTTGGCAAACAATAAATGCTAAATGAAAGAAATACAACTTGAACCGAAAAAATTTAAACTGCTTGTTTAAACAAATAGCAGCAAAATAATACATGATTTGTCTTTCAAATTATAGTATAATGTGGAATGATGCTCCAATCATGAATCAGAGGCTTTATTATATCAGAATGATCAAATTAAAATAAGGTTCAAAATTACTGCCTTCCGCAGAAATGCAGTACCAAACCCGCATAAGAAACTCCGCCTGTAGCTTCTGCAAACTCTGGACCTCCGTAGCCGATTATTTGAGTATCAAATGTCTGCACCAAAAATGTATATAGTTAAGCAGATTTGTGTGTGGGGGCTGGACCACATGCGTGACAAATCCCTTAAGGAAACTTCACCTTCTAAAAATCGGCTAATGGTTCAGATAAAATTTCCGTTTATGATTCTGATGTTAAAGGTCCATCTCGAAATATATTGGGCCAATTAAGGTGCTCTTCCATATTCCGCACCACACATTCACCGACCAATGCACTTGGTAGTGATTCGGTGTATTAGATGTGGGCTTTCGAGGGACCAATAATGCCTATTCTGAGTATTAACAGTGCCTTGCTACGAGAACTGGCATTCATCCAACCACAGAACTTCATTAAAAAAATCTGGATTTTCATCCAGTGTGCTTAGTATGAAATTGCAAAAATCAAAACGACGCTCCTCGTCTCCGGGCATTAGTTCACGTGCCAGGACTGGACGATAAGGATATGCACCGTACGTATCTAATATGTTCCACACCGTCGATTTTGAGTAGGAACAAGCCTTGCTAATATCCCGGACACAACTTTCAGGATGAGCCAGGGCATATCCTACAACATCCTTAGCGGGCATCCGCTAAAGGTGTGATAAGGGAATACGTCTATGACAACTCCCATTTTTATACAAGCGTTGAACAACACTGGCAATTGTACAATAAGATGGATACCCACGACTGGGAAATTTAATGGCAGAAAGTCTTGCCTCCTCTCTCTTATTTTGATTACATTGCCCATGCAACAGTACCATTTCGTAGTATTCTTCATTTGTATACATCTCGTTCTCCCGTACTAGATTTCGTAATATTAGAATACGACTGTATGCAATTGCATACGACTACACAACAGATTTTTAATCATGATCAGTACCTCAGCAAATAACCCTATTTTTTGGAGCTTCTTTTGAAATGTTTTCTTACTCCAAAATATTATTTTCTATTTTTTACATGTACACTTAATAAATTTTATTTCTTAAGTACTCAATTATTGGAATATTAACTATAAATTTAAAAACGATTTACAAACCTTACTAGTTTTTTGAAAATGGCCTAGAAAATGCATGAAATTGATGGTTTTCAAAGTTCCATAACTCAGCCAGTTCTATCATAATAAAATTAAATTTTTTGTGTTTGCTTTGTTTTTGTGTACTGCATCGTTTCCTAAATATAAGTGATAGGATCTGGGGACCGAAACTAAAAATTTAATTTTTGTAACTTTTTTCTAAATGAGTTTTTTTTTTGTTCGAAAAGCACGCAAAAACATTCTTTACCTTTTTTAAAACATTTTACAAAGTGCAAGTATATATCTAAACCGAACGGTTTGGGAATTAGCTATTGGTTCACATTAAGAGTGGACACCCTGTATAATACAACTGTAAATATCTCTCTCTATGTTATTGACTTCTATTCTTTAACTCTGCATCCATTCCCTCGGGAATCAAATTGCTTAAAAAATGCTTTACTGTTTGGTACGCTGAATCATATTGGTTCATTGGTTTCATACACCACAACTAAAATGTTGCTGACACCAGATGTAGAAAGTTGTCTGCCCCGTATGGTCTTGCATTGTTCTGTAGCTGATCGCATTTAATCCTTGAAAGTAAAATTGAAAGTAAAATACGACATCATGCTCTCAAATTCCAAATACGTAGTGGTGCTTAGTGAGGATACCAACAAAGAGTCTTGGAGGTGTGAGGAGTAAAATTTAATGACCACCCATCCCTAATAATATAGAATTAATAATTCGATACATAACGCAAAAGTGAAATCCTTTGCCACATTACCTCCAAACTGGTTAACGACCACTATGCCATTGTAGGCACAATTCCGATTCTTCTAAAAGAGGCTAAGTTATGCTAATAATTTTTTTCTGCATTCAATGTTGTACACCTTAATGGATATACAGTCTGTAGTCCAAGATAATTGCAGAAATAGATTCCTGTTGAAATTTCCCTCGTATGAAGTTGTTGAATGGTATGTGCTAATACAAATT